CTGTCCAGGGTCTGTCCGTTCAGGTAATGTTCTTTTAATGCTGTCTCTTGGTCTCTTTCGTTGAGACTTTGGTTATTTTATTTCCTTCTCCTAGTGATATTTGGGACTCTCCACCATGTGTACTTTGGCTTGTTTCTTGAGGTAGCCCTGGAAAGGAAAACAGAGACAAACAGGAAACAAAAGCACACACATGTACAAACAAATCAAACCAGCAAATCAAAAGGAAAAAAAGAAAAAAATAACAACAACAACAACAGCAAAAACCCAGCAAAAGACAAAGGACAGTCTAAAAGCATAAAACCATAAATCCCATTACAAATAAAGAGTAGTGTGCTGATGGAAGGGCATGTACAAAGAGAGAAACAACAGGAATGGGGAAAAAAAGAAGTTGAACATTGACCAGGCAGAGAGACTAAAAGGCTTAATTTTATCTTAAAGATAAAGAGAGAGGTGAATATGGCAGGAGGTAAGGAGAATAGAAAAGAAAAGAAAGAAAAGAAGAAGAAGAAAACCCCGAAGATAATGTTACCCAGAGAAACCATATAGTCTGATTATTTCAGATAGAGAGAAAGGAAGGTAACAATGGAGATAGAACATGCATCAAGCTAACGGATTATATATGCCTGTTTAAGTGAACCTGTAACCAGAAAACCAGGTCCAGAGGAAGGGAGAGATAAGGACGTGATAAGGGTGAATGTCTGTCTGAATAGCCAGAATTGATCTAGAGTCAATCACAGCAATGCATCAGTGTTGATCTTGGGAGAGGGGCTCCTTCCATATTCTATATACAGCCTCTGGTAATCAAGCCAACCAAGGAAGGCAGATGGGCGTAGTTTGGTGTAGGTGGGTCTAGCCTCCACTATGTGTCCCTCCTCCCCAGCTCAGTGGTTGTGGGGAGAAAGATGGCGACCCTGTCCCCTTTTGAACCAGATATTGCAAAGCCCTTATTTGGGTCAGATCTCACTGCGCCATGGATGCAGCCAAGGTGGGCCATGTTTTATATCCCACACCTGGCCTTGTTTCCAGATCTTATTCTATTTGCATTAATAACACTACCTAGAATGTAATCCCGCAAGCCCAGGCACTTCCTACTGGGGGATGGGGTGATCGAGTATGGGGCTGGCTCCTCTTGAATCCGACTGTGACTGTGATCCCCCAGCACCTGGCCTGAAGAAATCTCTGCAGCTAGAGGTGGTATTTTCTTCTCCAAAAGCCCTGCAGCTATGATGCTGTCTTTTTAGTGGACTCTGTCTCTTTTCCTCCCAGCCTCTTGCAGCTCATAGTTTTTTGGCTTCAGCCCTTCTTTGTTTGAAAGATGCAGGCAGGAGATAGCAAACTCCCTATTTCTCCGCCATCTTGCCCAATCTTTCCCAACGGACCTATTATCACTTGTGTGTTCCTATGGTCCCCAAACAGTAAATCAGAATATAAATCAAATTTTAAGAATACAGTGGATTTATACAAACTTCAATCACACACCCACAAATTCTGCTACAGCATAGAAAGTGTGCTGCATGGGCCTGACCCATGCAGACTCCTGTAGAGGAGACCTGTTACCTCTCCTCGAGCCAAAGCATGCACTCAACTCTTAAATTAATGGGAAGCCTTGGTGGGTAACCCTGGCCTCACTTAGAATCACCTGGAGCACGTAATTAAAACAGTGCTGTTGTTTCCACCCATGCCAATCTGAGAGCAAAGGCGGCAGCAATGAGTTTTTGAAACTCCACATGGGTTCCAGTTGGGAAGCATTTGGGGAGGTGACCAGACATAAAACAGTAACAGTGGCTGTGGTTGTTGTCCAGATTTAAATCCATGCCATTTCCACTGATCAGAGTTTCTGGAGATTTACACATTCCCTCTCTTTCTTCTACTCAGAGGGAGACACCCTTCCAAATGGAACTTTCCCTGATACATGTAAATATCTTTTACAAAGGAAACTTCTACTGGCTTTAGAGCTTTTCCTTCAAAGTAATTCTTAGGCTAAATAGACATATTTAGAGATGGCAAAATACTCCCCTTCAGTAGGAAGGTTTATTTTCACAAGTCACTGCCAAATAGTTTTCCAAATAGAATGTACTTTTTAAACTCTCATTGACAATGTATGAGAATTCTAATTGGTCAGTATTTTCACTGAAATTTTGTGTTGTCCTCTCTTTTGTATTTTAGCCATTCTAGGAAATATTGAGTGGTTTCTCATGGGAAAATATGAAGTGGTTTTGATGAGGGAGCATAAGACAAGCTGGCAGGCCTCAACTCTCCCCCACACCCCAGGTGGGATATGTGTGATATTCCTCAGGCACTCTTGGCTGCCCAAGAACAAAGAAAATGGGAAAAACAAATGTTTAACTGATAGAGATCATAGTTTCCATCACCCCTTCATAGTGTGATGTGGAAAACAAAGGCAGAAGGAAATGGCAGATAGAACTAAACTGCCTTATAACCTGCAGTCCATCGACATATAGTACTTTAGGCTGGCAGAGTAAAACATTTCTCCAGGAACTCCTTACTGTCTTAAAGCTAATGCTTTGCTACAGGGAAAAACAACCTTACCTTGACAATAGCTAAGGCCTCCAGTATCTTGTGAGTTTTTAGCATTTGAAAATCTAACTGGAAACTTCCCCCGGACTTTACCTCCCCCCAACTCCATAGTATAAAACCAGTCTCTCCTCATGGTCCCAGGACAGCTACTCCTGCCCACAGGTCCTGTCCTCGTGCTTCAGTAAAATCACCTTTCTGCCCCAAAGATGTCTTCAAGAATTCTTTCTTGGCCATCAGCTCTGGACTCCATGAACCCCACTATCACCCCCAAAAACCTCATCAGTTTTACTACAGTTATCCTGGTGACTGAAATCGAAATCACTTAAAAGCATAAAGCTGAACAAAATCAAAATGGCAGCATTAAAACATTAGTGAGACTTGATATTAAACTAAGTAACTTTTGGGGTGCCTGGGTGGCTCAGTTGGTTAAGCATCCGGCCGAAGCTCAGGTCATGATCTCACAGTTTGTGGGTTTGAGCCCTGCATTGGGCTCTGTGCTGACAGCTAGCTCAGAGCCTGGAGCCTGTCTTCGGATTCTGTAACTCCCTCTCTCTCTGACCCTCCCCTGCTCACGCTGTCTCTATCTCTGTCTCAAAAAAAAAAAAAAATAAAACATTTAAAAAATTTTTTAAATAAATAAACTAAGTAACTTTTTTTCTCTTTGGAGAAACTTCCTCTCCTACCTTATTAGCCTTTTTTGGTGTGTTTTTGTTTCTGTTGTTGCTGTTTGCTTTATTTTATTTTTATTTTATTTTATTTTATTTTATTTTATATTATTTTTTATTTTATTTTATTTTATTTTATTTTATTTTATTTTATTTTATTTATGTTTGTTTGTTGAGGAAACTGGTACCACACTGAAAACATTATGAACAACATTGGCAGCACAAACACATTTCCTGTCAGAAGGGGCTAGTTTCTCTATTTCCCTCCCTGCTGCAGCCTCCTTTGCCTACCAAAGCAATAAAGCTACCGTTCCTGTTTATCCCAAAGTCCGTCTTTGCATTTCATTTTGGCTCTGGAGCATGAAGGTCAGTTTTCAACCAGAGAATGAATGTGTTGAAGAGGAAAACATTTTTCTTCATCTGTTCTCAAATATTTGGCTGGCCTAATAATTAAACTGACATAATTTCTTAATTATGGAACCTCAAAGATACGAGGCTCAAAGACAGGTACTTGATGCTTATATGCTATTGTTACTGAAGGAAAGATGGATAGAGATTTAGAATTTCAAAAAGGGGAAAATACATTCACAGGAAAAGGAAAGAGCAAGTGTTATTAAACATTTGCCTTGCCACGCACACAGCTCTTCATGATACAACAAGTTAAACTCTGGTATTAGCTCTTTTCCTGGTAGTAGTCCCTCATCTAATTTTTTTCTAGAAATGTATATTGGCTTCAAAAAAGAATGAAATCTTCCATTTGCAACAAGAGAATAAACCTTAGCACCTTTTGCTAAGTTAAATAAGCCTCACACAGAAAAATGTAAACTGTATGAAATCATATACATGTGGAATTTAAGGAAAATGTAGGACCAGGGTAGTAGTACATTCAGGTGATGATAAAGTTCAGGCCAACCACTGCATTGCTGTCAGGCATGTGGAGTCTTGCTGGCTCAGGGCCAGTCCCTATTGCTAAAGGGGGTAGTTCCCTTTTCCATCCTGGGATGCTTTGCCTGCTGGGGCTTCTACTTGAGCTAAAAGATGAGCTGGAAAGAACTGAATTAGAAAGTACAGATGAAGGCATTCCTGGGTCCTCTTTCCATCTCACAATGTGTATGTTTAATTACCTTTTATTTATTTATTTTTTTTTATTTTTTTTTTACAAATAGTTTATTGTCAAATTAGTTTCTACATAACACTCAGTGCTCATCCCCAAAGTGCCCTCCTCCATGCCCATCCCCCCCTCCCCCCCACATCCAGTGTTTAATTACCTTTTAAAACTTGAGTGACCACTAGATTTTCAGAAATTGAAAACAGGGTGCTCAATGGGTTGGCTCTTGAAGCTGCCCTGAAGCAAGAATGTCCTGTCCCCTTTTGGGGGGAGTAAGAATCCCTGTCCCTTTCAAGGTTGTTCTGGCTGAGCTAAGTATCAAATTGACATGAGACAGATGAACAGGAGAGAATCAAATTTAATAGCATAACCATGGTAGAGTCCCCTCCCTAAGGAATGTGGTCAGAAAAGACCTCAAGAAAAATGAAGACAGCCTGGGTATGTGCATAGGTGGCATTCCTCAAGACCCTGTTAACATGAGACACCCAATCAGATGGTATGCTTATACGCCACCCATATATGGGAGACAAAGAGGTAGAAAATGCATAAAAGGCTGCCCCACGTGGCGTTTGGGGCTGTTTTTCTGGTACGAACCCAGCTGAGTGTGTTGGCATGAATAAACTTGCTTCCTGGAAAGAAAAGCCTTGGTGTCACTACTCTCTGGGTAAGAATCCCACTACTTTTCTTAGGGGCTCACATCAGGATCCAGAGATGGAACGTTTCCACCCCCTTTGCCACCAGGGTCTGAACCTCAGAGCGCTGAGAGAAGAGACTTAGCCTGGTACCAGTGGATCTGCAGACTAGCCCCTCCTGGTGCATCAGAGTGAGCACCCATTGTGGACCAATGGAATCTGTGAGGCCCAGGAACCAACTCAAGGAGCATCGTCCAAGACTGGTAAGAAGCTGGATTTATTCTGGTAGACCTGACCCTAATAGGCAGAAGGGGAGCCTGATCACCTCTCAGAGTAGCTCTAGTAGTTCCATAAGGAATAAAGAGTGAAGCCGCAATCTAAGGCACTGGGTGTTGGGTTGGAGACGCTGTGTGACAGTGTGTGGGGCTTCTCTCTCATTCATTTCCTGGGTCAATGACTATGATAATCAGAGCCAACTATCTCTGGTCAGTCTGCCTCAGAATGGGGACGTTAAGGATTATTCCCAAGCAGCTGCCAAAACTCCCTTGTTTTGTGGAAATTCTCATGTCTTCTCCCGACTGACATGGACTACCTAATTCCACTAGTGGAAAATGAATACAAAACAAAACAAAAACCTGGAGTCTGCTCCTCTGTCTGAGCTGACAAGATTTAAAACTGGGAATTCTTTTTCTCTGCCTTCTGCTAGCACCTCGCCTCTTCTGCTTTCCCTTCTCCCTCCTCGTGTTTCTGCACCACCTGGGGTACAACCTGCACAACTGACTCCTCAATGCCTCAGGCACCATTAGCTCCTCCTCCCACCCTAGATGTGGAGGAGCAAAGACCACCCACTTCAGATTTCCCCACTAATGTTCCAGGTAAAAATTAACCATGGGGAACAAATTGTCTCAAGTGGACCCAAGGAAACATATTCAGTGTTAAGCTAATTTAAGTTTATTGGTTTGAGATAGACCTGTTTATCAACAGTAAATTTTTAAAAAATCTTTTATTCTACCTAGGTTTGCTGAAGGTCAAATAAGTTCGTGTTATCTCTGTTCCAATTTGTTAGCAAAAGGATGACTTAAAGTAATGGTTAACTTTGTCTTACAGCTTTCATGGGTAACTGGTAAGATAGCTTTCAAAGTCTTTGATAGCCTAAAATGTTAAAGTTTTGCTTCCATGGTAAATTGGAATTGAATTAATTGGATTTCTAATGAGATAAAAGGCTAAGGCACTAATTACTAGATGTAGATTTTTATTACAAAAAAAGAACTATTTGAATCATACAAACATGCTTTGTGCTTTATTGAGATTTTACTATGGAAAACCTGCTTTGTGCTTAATTGATAAATTTATCATCTAAAAAAATTCTGATGTAAGGGAATAGTTCACAGTTGGTTACTACTTAATTTTCACTGGAGACTAAAGTTTCTAAGAGTTAAAATTCTGCTAAATATAATTAAGACTAACAAAAATAAGGAAAGTGACTATGTAAAAAAGTAGGAGCTATTTAAGGAAGATAAAAGGAATGGAAATACTTTTTTGTTGAAGGTAAAATAAAGTAATTTTGTTGTAAATGAGACTGGTTATTTGGAGATAGATGGCTTGGGACAAAATCTGAATGTAAAGGAAAGTTGTAGAAGGTTTGTGAAGGGAAATCTTTGGAAGGGAATTTTATGTGTGGTCAGGACTGACTAAGGTTAAAATGCGTGGATTTAAAAGTACACTGGTTTAAGATTAAAATCTTTTCCTCCTTTGATCCAAAGGCTGGGAAAATGGTGGTGATACTGTTAGTGCTGGCCTCCAAATCCTCCATATTTGTTTACTCCTGTTTAGCAGAGGAATAGATGCCCCCTGTGCCATATTAGGGATAGATGGTATATGAAGGGCTTTTACGAGGATACGTGGGAGCCATTTTGATAAACTTAGTCACTCTATGCAAAAATGGATGTCCACATGGCTGGAACATATTTCTGTGGGCATTGCTGAAAAGGCAAGGGAATAGACCTCAACCTTGGCCCTGTTAGCCCCCTTGATGGCCAATTTTATCCTTACAAAAAATGGTTTTTGCCAGCCTTTTCAAATATATGTGAAGAGGAGTACTGTTTGGCCAAAATAAAACTAATGCACCCTTCTACAACCAGGGAAGTCCTGCTTGGTCACAATACCTCCAAAGTCCTGCAGGTGGAAAACAGGGATAGGAGAAGTCAGGGAAGACCAGGTCAGCTTTCAGAGGCAGAGTTGAGCCTTGGTAAGAGCGACTGCTTCCAGTACCTCAAGAGACTGACAAAGTCTTTGTCTGCCAATTGAATATCCAGCCAAAATGTAGGGCTAGGAGATGAGGCTTCTCCTGGCAAGCTATAGAAAATAGAGATAAGGGACGTTTTCCTATGTGTGGGCAATTCCCCAACCAAGGCCAATGCTCCCTTGAGATGCATTCTGAAAAATTTGGATGATTTTGATCTATAAACTCTGAAGAAACAGCAACTCATTAATTATCTTGGGGCTGGAGGTCCTATAGGGAACTCCAGTTTCCTACTGGGGCTCAGGCATTTTCATCCCAATATCCTAAATGGGACTATGACCATACCACTGGGAAATGATATTGCCACCACTCCCAAGCTGGTGCTTTAGAGAAATTAAGGAAATCCAATATTAACTCTTAAATTATGCTAAACTAGCCACTGTATTTTACAAACACAAAATGAGAGCCCGGTGGCCTTCCTGGAGAGGTTGAGGAAGGCTTTCATTAAGTATATGGCTATCTCCCTCTGACACCCTAAGGCTGAGATTATTTTAAAGGACAAATTTTCACTCTATGAGCTCTAGATTTTTAGAGGAAATACAAAAATTGTCTGTTGGCCCAGAAAGGACCATGGAGGGGCTCTTACCAGCTGTCAATCGGGTATATTACAACCTAGATAAAAACATGAACAGCAAAACCACAGGAAGAGGGCTTAAGAAAAATCTGAGGCCTTAGTCGTGACTTTTTGCATTATGTCAGACCAGACTTCCCAAGGTCCTAGCACCAAATGCCACTTACATGGTCAGTCAGAGCACTGGAAATGAGATTGCCCTCAGAAGGGACAACAGAAGTCAAAGTCCCCCAAGCCATGCCCCTTATGTGGAGACAATCACTGGATGTCTGAATGCCCTCTGGGACCTCTATCTGTGAGGGCTCAGATAGCCAGTGTCCATGAAAGGGACTGATGGGGCTGGGGCTCTTTGAGGTAGCTCCTGAAACCAACTGTCTGTTGCAACCCCAGACCCTCAGGTAACTCTGAAAAATTTCAGGTAACTAAAAAGTCGGTTCATTGATACCAGAGCCACCTTTTTTGTCCTCCTTTTCCCTCCAGGTCAACTATCCAAATTCTAGCATGATGATTAGAGGCATCTCTGGAAAACTTCTAACTAAATTTTTCTTTCCTCCACTGGGATGCATATGGGGAAAACACATTTTTTTCTTGATAATACCAAAGAGCCTTACTCCCTTGTTAGAAAGGGACATTACAACTAAATTAGAGACTGTAGTGCTACTAACTCCAGAACAGATAAACAATTGTGTGAGTATTTGGGAATTACTGGATATTGTGGGCTGTAGATACCGGGGTTCAGGAAAATAGTTTGCCTACTGTATCAAGTTTTTTTTTTAATGTTTTTATTTATTTCTAGGAGAGAGAGAGAGACAGCGTGAGCAGGGGAGGGTCAGAGAGAGAGGGAGTCACAGACTGAAACAGGCTCTAGGCTTTGAGCTGGCAGGCAGCACAGAGCCCGATGCGGGGCTCGAACCCACGAACCGCGAGATCATGACCTAAGCGAAAGTCGGACGCTTAACCAACTAAGCCACCCAGGCGCCCCTACTGTATCAAGTATTAAAGTGGACTCAATCCCACCTACTGTGCCAAGGAAATAAACTGAGGTCTGACTCATGGACACGGTCTCCAGGGCAATTACTATTACCAAGCTCACAGAACTAAAAGATCATTAATGCACTGCATCAGGCCTTTCATTTAGGGAGGGATAAAATTTATCAAATGCCCAAAATGATGGGGAAGATTTGGCAAGGACAGTTCAACAAGTAGTATCAGCATAAAGTATGTCTTAGAAACAATCATCTCAACCACAGACTTGCTCTCCCAGACAATCAAAGAACTGGAGGCTATCCAGGGAAGACTGACCATTAGGATTCACTCATATGTCAAGGTCAAAGAAATTCCAACATCTGTTGGTATGATTTGACACTTTTACTAATTGGGTAGAGGTCTCCCCCCCCTCAAAAAAATTAAAAAGGTACAAGAAGTAATAAAAGTTCCGCTTTATAAAATAATACCCAGTTTCAACTTACCTAAAAATTTGCAAATTAATAATGGGAAACAGCTTCTTGACTCTTTCTCTGCTAGGACCCCCAGCTCTTGAAAAAAGTTTGGCACCTTGAAATAAAGCAAACTATCTGCTTATACTCAGCAAAATTCTAAATAACACCTCATAACCATTAGATGCTTTAAATAAAAAATAAATAACGTTAGGCTAGACTCTTGGAAAATAGAGTCATCATTGATTACTTACTACTCCTCCATCACTTGGGTTATGAGAGATTCCCTGACATGTTGCTTTAACATGACTGATAATTCTCAGTCTTAGAACTGATAGATGGCATTCGGGTATAATTGAAGAAAGTTAGAGTCTCTCCTGGATTGTTTGATTAGTTTGGGAACTGGGGACATTATCTTAAGATCCCATCTTATTAGTCAGTATAATCTTTAGTTTGTGTTTTTCTCTTTGTGTCTGCCAGTGTTTATGTCACTTCATGCCTGCTGGCCTTCCTGTAGAACCATACCGTGGGCTATTCAACTGACCCTTGGGTAGACTCTAACTGCTGTACTCCCACACAAACCCTTATCAGCTTGAAGAAGCCAGTAAGGTCTTTGTCCCTCTTCCCTAACAGCAGTTAGGGGCCCTTTTCAGGAGGAACAATACATAGGGGAAGGGTTAACTAATTGTAAGCAGGGAGAGATAAGGGACCTTCAGAAAGCCAGACTGCAGCTGCAAATGGGAGGCTGAAGAAACAGATGGATTTCTCCCCTTATGAAATCCTTTGCAGGCACCCTTGCCTCCATTGTCAAGGGCATAAGTGGGGATCTAAATGAGAGAGGCAATCTAACCGGAAAGCAACAGATGTGGGCCTTTGGCTCTCCCCTAACCACCTTACACCACTGGGTTAGCGAGTGATTGATTACCTGTGAGACTGACCACAGACACTCATCCA